TAGATCCCCGTATCGCAGTCCTCTGTCATGGATGACATAGAGGAGTGGCTCTGTGCTGACGTGGTGAGACTTTACCTTGATTTATATCTTTTTCTCTTCTTTCTTTCTCTCTTCTTCCCTCATTTTTTCTTTTTTCTTTGATAGCACATTTCATCCAACCATCCCATATATAACTGGATATATTTCACTTAAGTTTCCTGTCACATCCTTTCATTCACTGTAATCTAATGCATTTCCACCAATGACTGACATATAACACTTTCCTGTGAGGTTTGACTTACAAACGCTAACATAGTGCTAATGATAGTCAACTTAAAACAGTTGATATGAGCTTCTATAACATATGCATGTGGAGGTTGTGTGAGCTCAAGGTTGTCTTCACCTGCGAAAGGTGTGGAAGGAAGCATGATTGACGGGTCCGTAATGAGCATCTTTGTACGGATTTGTCTCAGTTTGTGTGAACTTAACAGGACCTTGACTTGTATGAGGCTTTTTACCCTGTTCACTAAGGTTTATTTTTGTCTTTTGAAACAAAGACAACTCAACAATCAACAATTATTTCATAATGTGTGTATTATCTTTCCCCCTTCTTAATAGAAAGGAGATGCCGCAGAGGAAGGGGTGACCAGTGAAGGTATATGCTAATCACAATTTATTTCTGTTCCATGAGCTCAAACGTGTATATGAAGTCTTGTACATTTTCACACTTGTACATATTCAAAATATAACAGTGATAAACGTTCAACTCTCCATGTCTCTGACAAATCTATTTGTTTGTTTCAGAATTTGATAAGTTCCTGGAGGAGCGAGCCAAGGCAGCAGACTCTTTGCCATCTCCCCCCGGAGCTAACCCTGCTCACCCCGCCCGTGCTCCCGGTGGCTCACACAAGAAGGCTGAACGGACAGAAGACGCCCTCTTTGCCTTGTAGACTGTTCTCAGAGGACCTCAATCTCTTCTCTGGGGCATCTAAAGGTCCTTGCCCTAAATGATTCCCCCCCCAAACAGTCCTTCCAGTCTCATTTCATCGCTGACAGGCACTGGTGTAGCAAGTGATCTCCACCTCCTCGTCATTCTCTTGCCACAGTGTTGCTCTAACCTGCAGAGGTCCATCATGTTTACTGCGCACAACTGTGTTGCGTTTTGCTATATATGGATGTATTAATCTGTTAGTGTGGGATGTATTACTCGCAGCCCTGCATCTCATTTGTAACGTGCCACCAAAGGAGGACGACTTCAATCGTCTGATGTGGTTTAAAAATGTGGTATATTACTGCGAGATTAATGGAAATAGTTCACTGCAGGTCAATGCATTGAGTCAGTATGGAAGCATACAATTAGGATTGTATTGTGTTGTTGAACTACATTCTACTAATTGCTAATTTATGCATTTATTGTTTTGTTCTGTACTATGTACTAGTGCTGTGGTTATGGTCCGATACATGCATTTTCTTCCCTTTTTTTTTTTTTACAGAAAAAAATCCAGTAAGAGCTCTAGTCATGCTTCTAATACTGAGATATGTGTGGAATGGCAACATGTTTTCCTGCAGCAGTGTGGAGAAAAGACTTGTGTTAGCAGGCTAATTTTGCTAACTAGGAATATAATAGCTAAATCTTAGCGAATATTGATGAGTGTATGCCAGCGATCCCTTTAACCAAAGGAAATAAACAACAAAAACTCTAAAAAGCACTAGTTAGGATTCTCTATTATGTATTTTAAATGGCTATGGGGAAGGAACGTGCCCATGGAATATTTCCCACAAGTCTTTTCAGTCCTTTGAAAGGCTTCAACAAATTAGCTGATAAAAGTATTCCCTTAAACGCCCAGCCATTCCAAAGAATATTAAGGCTTTAATGACCAACTAGCACTGAATTTTACCTGTCGAACAATAACCAGGTATTATAAATGTTAAGGGATGATGAACATTTTCCTTCCCCTGCTCTATTAATGTCTGTGCACTTTGAAGCAAAAACAAATCTGTATTTTGTCCTTTGTGTTTACAAGATGGATACTATTTTTCTAGGGGATGGGAAATGGTCTTTAGATTGACATCATTTTGCACATAAGTTTTCTAACTGTGTAATTGCAGCGCTTGTTCACATCGAAGTGGATTGATGGACTGTTAAACGTAGGGTTGCAAAAACATTTAAGATTATTCAAAATGACATAAAGATACAAGACAAATTATGGCATTAAATTAGCAGCTTGACTTAGCGCTAGCACAGTAATCGACTAAAAGACAGAACACATAGCTTACAATGATGCACTGTTGTAAAGGATATATTCATATAGGTAGAACTTCACTTACTCTATACTATGTAATCTATATACCTCAAAATACAAGAATTTTAGTTTCTGCATCTGGTTAAAAATGTATCGGCTCATAGTAATATCCAGATTGCAGAGACGTTTATGTATTATTTGATCCCCTGATTGTATTTTTATAGTTCATGTAAAAAAAAGAAGAAAACATGTTTGTACCCGTCATCATTGATCTTTTTTGTGGTTGAGGCTGAGGCATGCAGCAAACAAACACAATTGTACATTCTTTGATTTGTGCAGTCAAAGATGTACTTTCATACTGGCATGATTCATCCGCTCCAACGTCGGAGCGACTGCCAAGCATTTCTGTGATTGACTGATTTCAGCAAAGTAGCTCCGACTGGAGATTGTCTTTGGTGTAGTTAAGATCACACTTTGAGGGAAAAAGCAGTCCTGTCTTTCATTCCAGCTCTTTTGCTGAGGCTCTGGTTTATTTTAATGTTGCTCTGCACTTGAAAGATTTCTTTGTTTTTTTTTTTTCTTAGTCCATTTAAGACCAAAAGCCTCGTCAGTCGAGGCATTCCATTTCCTCCCAAGTTGTAAAAGCTTAATCAATTATCAAAATAACTTGTTGAATTATCTGTTGTCAGTATAGGCCTTCCACTAGAGGGAAATATTCATGATTTGTAACAGTTGTTAACATAAATGCAGTGGTGACATTGAGAAATTATCTGTGTCTACATAATCATTATGATTAAATATTTAAATGTATTTTAGTTGAGGAAAATTAATGATTAATGAGCTTTAACTTTTTTTTTTAATGCTGTATGGTTATATAGGTTTTAGTATGGTTGCCAGGTAACTGAGATAATAGCGTTAAATTTACAATCAACCATTGTGTTCACTTTGAAAAAACTTTTACCATGCGGGCTGATCAAAGAGGATTACTAAAATGTAACAGGAGATCCTTCAAAAGGGAACTTGAGTATTTTTTTCTGTTTGTGTGTTACATATCTCTGGATGTGTAAGTGTATTGTTTTACTTTGCTTTTATGAGGCTTCAGTCCTGATCGATTGCAACATGTATTCCTCGAAATTCTGGTAAATCTCAAAATGGTTATTGAATGTCTTTTAATACTGATGAGGCAGAACGTTTAGCTGGATGTTTTGTGGACATGGAGGAGAGGGTTGTTTTCTGATGGTGGGTGTCCCATGTCTGTTTGGTTGTGCCGTCTGCTGCCATTACTAATGGTCAGATTTTCGTTTGACCTAATGCACGTATGTAACTGCCCAATAAAACACTAGCAATGTGTGACCTCTACCTCACAACTGTTTGTGGTTATTTTACAATCAAGCATTGTGTGACAATTTTCTGCTTCTTCTTTATGTGCACATGCTGATGCAACCCACCCTCAGTCTTGCACTGGCCGTTCATTGTCACATGAGCCTCTCACCCCCTCCCACACGTTGATTCATGGACACTTTATCCATTCGGCTCCCATAGCTTACCCCACAGAAAACGTAAACAAGTCTTGGTCACATGCAGCTTTTAGAAAAGTTTGCTTCCTTCAGTCTCCTGTGCAGCATCACTGGCACGTTTTCAAGTGGGCAAGTGAATAAGAAATGCACTATTGTACGAACACACCCCATCACCAACAATAGCAGACTTGCTGACAGGCTTTCATAAATTACTCTACTCCCCTTAGTTCTGACAACAACTTTTTCTTTTGCAGTGTTACTCTAGGTCAATGACCTATTTCCCCACCGTGCCTTTGTGGGGCTCCCCCCTTTGTGTCCATGTGACAGTGTGCTCACTTTATAGTTCTACTTAAGCTGATACTGATCTGAAAATAAAGTTTGCCATGGCCACTGACCGTCAGATAGCTTTTTTTTACTAAGCCGGTTATTTAACAAACCCCCGTAACAGCAACTGTTTACACTATTAACAGTTAAAAGTGTTGTTTACTGGAAGAAGCCTCCCTTTACTAAGCTTAATTCAATGTCTAACAATAGTGAGGGAATACTTTAGTATTTCTTGTAACTTTTTTGGGGGCCTAAAATTAAAATTTTCCCCATGTTGTTAAATTATTTTTGCCCACTTGCATCCCTGCAGGTCATTTCCTGCTGCCGCCACCACTCTCAGATAGATACACATGATGTAATCGCTAGACCCAGAGATGTGACGTCAGATCACCCCACTCGGTTCCTGAGCTTCCCATTGGACGATTTCACTGGTTCTACAGGAGGAGCCGCCGCTGCGCGTCAAACAACCTTGCTCACCAGTAGCACACGCCCACTCAGCTCTCATTGGCTGTTGGGGGCAAGCCCACAATAAACACATCCATGCTGTTTCCCCCAAAATACATAGTTTAATGAAATGTGTGTCTGATGGTAATATGTTTTTACACGACTGGGGCGAATAGCACCGATAGCACCGGGTAATTTAGTCTAAATAAAACATTATATTTATACACAGTAGATAGTAATTGTATCGTTTTTTTTTTTTTCAAAGCGATCCATATAGATACTCTGGAGCTATTACATCAGTTTGTCGAGTACATTAATAATTATGTCATACTGTACATCGTCGTAAAATACGGCATATGCTCGACATGCTGTCACCTCTTCAGTCAAATAATCAAAACAACCCTGAGAAACAGGAACGTGGGAATCCGGTTCAAACGCTGTGATTGGCTGTCGCGCCTGTCAATCACCCTCGGCTGGGTGGGACCGCTCTGCTGCCGCCGTAAGCACGTTAGTAGTGAATGAGCCTCAGTGTTTGGTTTGGGTTTTGACAAGTTTCCCTGCTCGACCATGGGGGCAGAGTGAGAGTAGTTAGCACACACATCGATAAGAAGTTGCGGCTCACTTCACGCGTGTTTCAGGTGAACTCGGGGGAATCTGACGCTCTGGCAGATGTAGGGACGTGAGAAGTGTCCCGATTTCCTTTTTTTTTTAAACCCCCCCCCCTCTCTCTCTGTCTCTCTTTGAGCGATTCGACAGCCAAGTGAAGTCTACATCGGAAAGCCAGACACCGGAGTGAAGATGAACAGCCTGTCTTTTGACGATCCCTCGCTGGATAACCTGGATCCAACGCTGTCGCTCAATGACCCCAGCGATATTGACACGGCCCTGTTAAGCGACATTGACGGTAAGACAAATATAACAATGACAGCTCGCTAGCGTTAGCTCACCCAGTCGCATTTAACAGCTGGAAACCAATAACAGTTTGTAAGTTAAGCCCTTCCTCCTCACATTAAATGTTCCCCCACTGTATACCAACATAAAGTACCACCAGTGGCCAACTTTAAAGGGTTTAAGCTCACAGTGTAGCCTGCATCAGCTAAAGCTGGCCCTCACTGGAGGTTAGCTGAGGTGAGAATAGGTGGTCTCCTGCACAAGACCACAACTCACTGTCACACTCTTATTGTGCGTTAAACACTTACCGATTATTATAAGAGTTGAGCTCATATTTGAGGCTAAGCTGCTGGTAAATTGGTCGTGAGTGCGCCCCGCCCCCAATCTGCCCCACAGACAGGGGTTACTGTCGTTCATTCCTCCTCGGTGGGTTCACAGGGCCTCGGTTGACCGAACCAACCGACCGTGGATTTGGTTTTTATCAAGAGATACAATTATTATTGTAACGATGTCCTCTATTGCACCTCACTGTCTATTCCTTATTTTTGTTGTTAGCACGTTTTTTTGTTTTTTTTTACCTTTTACATATTAAATACTTTTTATAAATGAAAACCACGTGCTTGTGTAATTACTGGGGTTGCAATTAAGCTGTTAATGTATGTGTTGTAGTCACATTCTCACTCGTTTGATGTAATGTTTGGGCTGTAGAATTAAAAAAAAAAAAAAAAACATTGTTTAATTAGACATATATATATATATATTAGTGGTATATTTTGTTTCCATTTGCTTTCCAGTAATTGCTGATTGTGTGTGCGTGTATTTGTGAATATCGCCGTGTACTGTACTGTCATGGATATCGCCCACTTCCTAAATTTGACCGACAGTAACCCTCGGTGATGCTGCTCGATGGTAACCTTGTGCGGAGCCACAGACAGCGCTCTCTCTCTCTCTCTCTCTCTCTCTCTCTCTCTCTCTCTCTCTCTCTCTCTCTCTCTCTCTCGTGTCTTGGGCTGATCGGCATAGCAAGTCTCTGAGACGCGCTCTGATTGGTCAAGAGCGATCACCTCATACAAAACACTGGATTACAAATCCAGGGTGCTGCGTTTTCACTGCAGACACAACATAACACTCAAAGTGTCACTGGAGTTTTTTATTTATATAAATATATATATTTTGCAGTATATTCCTGGTGAGCTTCATCAGCTCAAAATTAGAGACTATAAAATAATTAGTCAATCTTTCTAGAGCAGAATATAAGGGGGCCTTGAATAGACTGAAAGCAAATGCTATCTCATTTATTTTGAACATTATATTTCCTGTGTTAATTTGACGCCGTTACGCAGTTCACACGTGCCAGTTTGTGTGAAGGAATACATTTTGAAACATATTACTCATGCCAATGGGACCATAAAGTTAGTTTCATGACTCTTTCATATGTTTGTTACAGTACGTGGGATCAGTTTTCTGCTTGTCCCTTGTAGTACTTGGGCCCACAGCTGCGGGAATGCTATAAATAGTATGACTGCACATTGGTTGATGAACATTACACGTACAAAGTTCATTATATGTGTACCTGGTGCTAGGTGTGTTTGTACTGTGCATGTCAGCATGCACTGTGAATGTGGTTTTGTTATTTTATCCATTAAGAATCCAATTTATGTTATTCAGTTCTTGTTCTAATTCATGTTATATATATTTTTTTAGTATGAAAAGAAACCATAATAATATAACAATATTTTTTTTCCCCCAATAAACAATTTTGATGTTTTATACTTATTTTATTCTAAGATTGACCTTATAACATTAGATGGTTCTGGATCAAATTGTGCATCCTTATCCCACGCTGCAGTAAAAGCTTTGTCACTGCTACTGTTTATTATACTGTTTAGACTGATTATATTTCACTGCATTACTGTTGTATTCTGTAGCTTACTTTTAAGTGCTTCCTCTGATCTGTTATATCATAAACACTGTGTGGGTAGATGTAAGGCTGACTAGCATTAAAGATGCAAATGCAGGTGATCCAGTTTGCCACGGAGAATATGTTTTCAGTTTGGGATATTGCTTGCTTACATATTTTTCTACTTGGTCAATAGCAGTGATAGTGGTTCTGCTTTCTCTCCCTCTTCAGACATGCTACAGCTCATCAGCAACCAGGACATGGAGTTCGGAGGGCTGTTTGATAACCCTCCGTACACCGGGCCCCCTCCTACCCAAGAGCTTCCTCCTTTGACCCAGACCATCACCTCACCTGCCCCTCCAGCCACCACTACCACATCTCCATCTTCAACTCCCTCTTCCATCCTAAGCAGTAGCCCCCACCTGGATGCACTCTTGGGCCCTCCCATCACTCGTAGTTCCTCCACCCCAGACAAGACCTTCCAGCCTCCCACCTTCCAACAGTCCCCCCTGGCCCAGATGCCGAGCTCCACCCAGAGGCAGCAGCCCGCCTCCCCGCAGCAGGCTCAGACCCTCAGACAGCCCCAGGTGGAGCAGCCCCAACCCATTCTCAGCCCATCTGCCCCAGCCCAGGCAGCTTCGCCTCATGGCTCACCAGGACCGAACCCAGCTTTCAGCTCCACACCCCAGGCTCTCTTCACCTCACCTGCACCCCAGACCCCACCTCAGCCCCAGCCCCAGCCCCAGCCCAAGCCACTTGCACAACTTCAGGCCCAGGCTCAGCCCCAACAGGTGCGGACCAGCTATAGCGCCCAGAACAGCTTCACAGGTAAGCACTCTTTGATGGTTATTGTAGTGACTTTTAGAGGCATTAGATAACATATGATACAAACCTCTAAACGTAAATCCATGTTAAAGGCTTGAAAAGGGTAACGCAGGGTTTTCTCTATGCCAATTTATTGGTTTTTCATATCTGTCACTGGATCAATCCAATATCCATAATATATCCTTTCTATTTGACTGAATAAAGTTGGCCCGTACCAGTCAGGTTCCTGCTGTTTTAAACAACTTTAATTAGCAGGTTTCAACCAGAAATAGGCAGGTAATTTATTTAAATCTAAAATTAAATTCTTCAAATCTTATTTTCTCTACAGATGCTTTGTAGCAGATATTGCGTGTCCAACCAGGTGGCTTTTCACCAAGTGCACTGGTTATTCAACCTCAGCTGATCTTGTATCCAAGTCCTAATCTAATAGACTTTGCTCAGCGGTGTGAGGGTCTGTGAGCTAAATGAAAATGCTTTGTCTGGAAAACCTACGTTGTATATATGTACATACGGTAGTATATGTACACCGTACATATTGTACGATATATGCATATCCGCGGCAGCCATGTCCAGTGATATTTAATACTTTGACAACTGATTGTAGTTAGTTAAACATTCCTTCTGAATTGTCCAGGGTGCAATATATTTTTATTACTGGAGAAAAATCCCCAAACCTGACAGCTACTGATAAGCGATTGCAATGGCTAGTCCAGTTGGAGCTGATAAGAAATATGAGGTGACACACTGAATGTTGCTATCTCTTATTTCTAATGAGATTGCAGTTCACCTATTGGCCTACAAACCCACAGACAATGGTTTGTACCTTGTCAAGTGTGGCAAAAAAAGCTCTTGCTTCTAGAGTCGTACCAGTAATAACCAATGATATTTTTTAAACCAATACATATATCTAATATATTTTTTTACCTTAATTGGCCAATACCAGTATGTTTTTTTTTCTCTTAGTACCAATTCAGGCTTAGTGCAAATGTTGATGTAGAAAATGTAAGCTGTTCCCATTCTTAATGTAAAAAACATGACATAGTTTTGTTGGTAGTTTCTCTGTTGTAACAGGTGACTATTGCAGCAGTAAAAAGAATACTGGAGAAATTGGACCTAGCTTTTTAAAGCTGATATTGGCTGATACTAAATACTGATACAATGTATTGTTATTTTCAACTACAAACTTGCAGGAGAGGCTTGTTTGAGTGCTGGAATCTGATGCCACTGAAATTTCTGAAACATTTAAATGGTGAACAGTTTTTAAACGATGCAGGAATATTTTTTGTCTGTATGAAAAAACTAATTCTTGCTCGCTGCAATAATTAAGTGAAAGCAATTTAGCAATTACTTCATGCCCTGTAGAATTTCTGGGTAATGAGATGGATTTTTGTCATGGATATTTCATACAATTTAACCTGCTTGAATTAATCTTTTTGCATAACTCTCTTCCAGCTGTCACTCCTGGCAGCGTGAGCCAACCCACCACCAGCTTGTCATCCTCACCTCCAAGTGTTCAGCCGGTGACCATTCAGACTCAGATCCAAGGACTGACCACCACTTCTCCTCTCCTGGCCACGACAGCAAGCCCAACAGCGCAAACCATCACATCCCACGTACAGCAAGTACCTGTAAGTGCACTCTACTCACTCGTTTGTGTGACATGGAACCAAAAGAAGAACTGTGCATCTTAACTGTACGTGTGTATTTGTGTGTGTTTTCTCAGGTGTTGCTGCAGCCACAGTTCATCAAGGCTGAGTCTCTGCTGCTGACCACTCTGAAGCATGACCCTTGCATTGTCACTACTGTGTCCTCTCCCACATCCCTGGCCACCACCACCCAAGCGCAGAGCACTTCATTGCAGGTAGGCACAACATGTTCAACTCCATACTGAGATCATACAAAGCACTCACTGTGCAGCCACTGAATTTACACTTCAGATATCTGAACTGTTACTGCTAAGATCTAATATACTCCTGTGACCTTAAATTGAACTTGTAAGAGAGAAGTACTTTTAGAATAATTATTCCAAAAGCAAGCCATCAGTGAAGTAAAGATATTATGTAAGCTGCTGTTAAATAACCTAACTGTGCTAGATGGTTTGTTACACAGGTCCATCTGGGAAGTCGTCATTGGAAACTGTTTGGAAAAGGGCTAGGCATTCTCAGAAAAATACTTGGCAGGTGATTGGATGAACTATCTGCCTGTCACCGCCATATCACAGGCAAACTTTACCCAATCAGATAAGCAAACCATACAACGCAGTTAAACTCTTAGCGAAGCCAGTCGAGAGAAGATGTTTTCCATTGAGAAAAGCCTTCAGTGCAGTTCTTTGCTCTTCTTTTAGTGAATACATATTCTCCAGTTTTGCTATAACTGATGCTACCAGCATCAACGCTAACCTTTTTAGCAGCCAACATTGTTGTTTTCGAGCAGTCACTTCTCACACACACCTAGCGTTAAACCACGCCTGTAGCTCATGCTGCCAGTAGTTCTTCATAAGACACTAATTGGTGGTTTAGACACCGGCGCATAGCTTGAAGCCTGGAAAGATGCATTCTCTTGTGATTTTAAATATCACAGTATGTGATTGATGAATAATGTTGATTCAAATAGGATTTTACTGTGCATTTTTCTGTCAACTCATCCTTCTATTTTCTGTCTTTTCCCATTTTTCCCGTGCCACCTCATTTACCCACTCAGGCTTTTATGAACGGTGGCACCATCCTGACCACAGTGCCCGTCATGGTGGACACTGACAAGCTGCCCATTAACCGCATCGCCATCAGCGGCAAGCTGGCTGGCCAGCCACACAAGGGAGAGAAGCGCACGGCCCACAACGCCATCGAGAAGCGCTACCGCTCCTCAATTAATGACAAAATCATCGAGCTCAAAGATCTGGTGGCTGGCACGGAGGCCAAGGTAGGAAAGAAGACCTCATGTGCGGTATTTTTTTGTGAGATCTGGCAGTCAGTTGAGAAGAGGAAGAAGAAGCTAATTATATTATTGTCTATGTTTCCACTTTCTCACAGCTCAACAAGTCTGCAGTGCTGAGGAAAGCCATCGACTACATCCGATACCTGCAGCAGACCAACCAGAAACTCAAACAGGAGAATATGGCTTTTAAAATGGCAGCCCAGAAAAACAGTACGTGCTTAAAACCTTTCTCTCGTCTTTATGCCATAATAGATTCTCTGAAATGTATTTCAATTTCCCGAAAGTAAGTCATTCAGCTGACCTTTTGTGATGAGGTCTATTGATAGTAACTGTTATCCTGAAATGACTGAAGCAGAAATGGTCTTTTGTTACCTTTAAGTGAGTGGAATTGTAGGTTGAAGATGTCTTTATTTTCGCAGCCCTGATTGACCCTCTAACTGCTCCTTTCCTCTTTCCTCAGAGTCTCTTAAGGACCTGGTTGCCATGGAGGTGGATGGACCAGCTGATGTGAAGAACGAGCTGCCCACCCCGCCAGCCTCTGATGTGGGCTCCCCCACCTCTTTCTCGCACTGTGGCAGTGACTCTGAGCCTGACAGTCCGATGGTAGAGGACACCAAGGTATGCAGCTCTTGTTTAAACTGCTAAACTACAAACAATAAAACTGCACTTCATCAGCAGAAAAAAATAAAACATAGACATACTGTCTGCAGTATGTTTACACTTTTTTCACATTGAGTAACACTGCTATCTCTCTTCTACTCTACAGCCCAATGTAGGCATTTCAGACAGACCGGCAGCAGGAGGTAGTGCTGGAGGCATGTTAGATCGTTCTCGCATGGCGTTGTGCGCCTTCACCTTCCTCTTCCTCTCCCTCAACCCTCTGGCCGCCCTGCTCTGCTCATCTGGCAGCAGCTCAGCTGACAGCACCGCAGCCACTGCCACCCATCACGCAGGAAGGAGTGTCCTGGGTGTGGATATTGCAGGTAGGGAGGGGTGGTTCAAATGGAGCCACTGTCAATAAAATTTTTACAAAAATGAGTTGTTTTGAAATTATATAAGGTTCTGGTTTTCATGTGATGCATTCTACGTGTTTATAGTTAAATAAAAAAAACTTGTGTTTTCTGTAGCGGACTCGTGGGGCTGGATGGACTGGATGCTGCCAACCATACTGGTGTGGCTCCTGAACGGTGTTCTGGTGTCAGGGGTTCTGATCCGGCTTTTGGTGTATGGAGAACCTGTAACCAGACCGCACTCTGGATCCTCTGTCTTGTTCTGGAGGCACCGCAAGCAGGCTGACCTAGACCTAGCTAGAGTATGTTCTTTGTACATTTGATCATTTTTAAAAGGTTCTTCCTCAGGAGTTTCCTTTTGTTATCTCCCTGTCTTCAGCAACTTAGTCTGGCCCACCTTTTATCTGTTCTCTATTATCATCACTTATCTCTTTTTGCCCTCCTCAGGGAGATTTTGCTCAGGCCAGTCAGAACCTGTGGACCTGTCTAAAGGCTCTTGGTCGTCCCTTACCCACCTCCCAGTTGGACCTGGCCTGTGCTGCCCTCTGGTCCCTGCTAAGATTCTGCCTCCAGCGCCTCTGGGTGGGCCGTTGGCTGGCTGCCCGGGCTGGAGGGCTGCGATCTGATCGCCCCCTGCAGGAGGATGCCTGCAAGAGCAGCCGTGATGCTGCACTGGTTTACCACCGCCTGCACCAGCTACACATGACAGGTCGGTTGGTGGGGGAAACCATTCCAAATAAATTCAGTGTTGTAGACTGAGCACTGTAGGGAGCATATTAAAGTGACAGAATCTCAGGTGTTTAAAGACCAACTCAGCTCCCCAGTTTTACTGTTATGTTGATTGACTGGCAATAAAAGGTTTAATCATTTTGTTTAGGTAATTATTACCAGACCATGATTATTACATCACTGTTGTTCTCTGTAATAAAATATATTTAATATGCTTTTCTTTTCCTCTCTCTGTGCATACAGGTAAGCTGAATGGTAGCCACCTGTCAGCAGTGCACATGGCTCTAAGTGCGGTGAACCTGGCAGAGTGTGCTGGCTCCTGTCTGCCTGTTGCCTCTCTAGCTGAGGTCTACGTCTCTGCAGCTCTACGGGTCAAAGCCAGCCTGCCAAGGATCCTGCATTTTACCTCTGTAAGTCCCCTTAGTTTGCACCTGCGCAGACGTCTTGCTCAGTCATTCATATTGTGCAAAAAAATATTTTAATATTGTATATATATTTGGAAATATTTTTGCTTGGATACTGTCAGAAGTACTTGCACATTATCATGTTGGTTGTTTAGAGGTTAAGTGCTATGCACATGAGCAGCAAGTAGTTTTAAGTTGATGTTTGGTTCATGTTTAATTAACAGAAACTGAGTTGTTAATGACCCTGGGACTTACCCACTTGAAATAAACTGAGCTATGCTGAACCAAAACATCATTAGTAAACTGTTTTTTTGTTTTTTTTTGATAGCGTGTGTTCCTGAGCAGTGCCCGCCAGGCGTGCCTGTCATCTAGTGGCAGCGTGCCTCCAGCTATGCAGTGGCTCTGTCACCCACTAGGTCACCGCTTCTTTGTGGATGGGGACTGGGCCATTCGCAGCACTCCTAAAGAAAGCATCTACAGCCAGGCTGGAAATACTGGTTAGTAACTGTGTTCTATAGTGGCTAATTTAATGCCTTGAATCCTCTTTAACTTAGTCACCTAATGCCTAAACCTCCTGTTTTGTACATGTACACTACGTGCTAATGTTTTGTTGGTACTCTTACAGTGGATCCTCTGGCCCAGGTGACTCAGGCTTTCAGAGAACACCTCCTGGAGAAGGCCCTGTATTGTGTGGCCCAGCCTTGTGGAGAGAAAAGCCCCAGCCAGGGCGAGGGGTGAGAAAACATAACATACTTCCAAAGAACTGTGTAATTTGTATACCATTTATATCTTGTGTTAGAATTTCATGGTGTGTTTACTCTTTGACACAGTTTAGATAAGAATAGATAGAAACAAGCGGAAGAACAACAATAAGGACAATGTTATTGACTATAGAAAATAATTTAAGAGTGCCTTTGGATAGATTTTAAATCGTATGTTCATGTGGCAGCAAAATAACCCTAGAGTGTGTGTGTGTGTGTGTGTGTGTCTTCTCAGGGAATACGCTGATGCCCTGGAGTACCTCCAGCTGTTGATTAGTGCATCAGATGCAGCCGGTGCAGCCTCCCAGTCCTTTGCTATCGGCTCCAACATGGCTACTGTGACTGGTAAGTCACTGGTGACAACTGTCACTTCTGTTAACAACGCACTTGTTCAAAAAACATTAGTGCCAAGTAATGGCAGACATTTTTGAATCCCTGCCCAAAATCAGCTTCTAAAACCTTGGCAACCTCACTGACTGAGACTACTTCTGTTGCTCGAGTACAGCGACACATTCAAGTGTGGATTTGGGCTCCTTACGTCATTACTGTTTGTCTTCTATGAGAAAATTACATTCGCTTTTCCCGCATCTTTCCCTCAGCTGCCCTGACTTTTCGATTTCCTTAATGTGCTTGCAAAGTAAGAAACAGTAAGATAAAGTTAATTTTTACACTACTTAGATCGAGTAGCCGGATTTCCACTGGGTTGACTTCCACTTTCCTTTGTCCTTACTGATCACTGATCTGAGTGAAAGGAGGCTAGGTAAAAGGGAGGCATCCACTAGATTGCTTCATCTATCTTCAGTGCTGTCAAATCGGTGATCACCTTGAGAGGAGGGAGGATGTGGGAGGGTAAGGGAGTCTGTGAAGGGATTTTAATGGAGAGACTTGTCTTGGCAGAGGCTCAGGTTGCTCACACAGTGTTAAGTCTGTGTGTGTGTGTCTGTGTCTTTGTGTGTGTGTGTGTGTGTGTGTGTGTGTGTGTGTGTGTGTGTGTGTGTGTGTGTGTGTGTGTGTGTGTGTGTGTGTGTGTGTGTGTGTGTGTGTGTGTGTGTGTTGCCCAATGTTAAATGGAGTAGTTTTCCCTCGTGGGGGAGTCGTCAAAATGGCTGCTTTCTCTCAGCATGTTGTGACTGTGCCAGAGGGGAGAAACAGATTGATTCAGAGGTCAAATATACAGACAGCAGCTGTGTGTCTGTATGTGTGTGCACTGTCATGCATGTTAAATTTGAAAGTGGGCAGTGGGGGGATTCAAATATTTGCATGTTTGTTTGTCTGTGGGCAACTCGCCTTTTGACTGTTCTGTTCCAACTTCCAGGCTGTGACCCCCACTCCAAGTGGTGGTCCTCGGTTGCTGTGGTGATCATCAACTGGCTCCAAGGAGATGACGCTGCGGCGGAAAGACTGTATCCCACCGTTGAGCACTTGCCCCGAAGTCTGCAGAACGCAGAGTAAGTTGGACATGTACACGCTGGAACGTGTGCAGCCAGCCTAGGAGTGCGCTGCACTTGTCTGCTGATGCCCAGCAGAGGACACACACACACACACACACACACACAAACCCACTTCCACTACTTTAACCTGTGTCCTCTGTCTCTTTTTCCCCCTCGCTCTGTCAGGAGTCTTCTGCCCAAGGCGTGTCTGAACACATTCAGAGCGGTGCGGGCTCTGCTGTCCAAGCCAGAAAACTGCCAGCTGAGTCTGAGCTACAGCGACAAGGCCAGCGCCCTGCTCCGAGACAGCCTCAACCTAGGACCACACTGCCACAGCTCCAGTTTAGACAAGGTACACACTTACACACAAAGGCACAAGCACTTGCAGAGTGCACATTAAAGTCAGGTTGATTTTTATTATTCCTATGGAGGAAATTTTGTGAGCAATCTGCATCAAAAATATGAAAAAAATTACACACACGAAAGCACACACTGACAAATGTGCCCACACGTGTGTGTGTATAAAATTATAAACACAGAAAATGCCCACACATTATCGCTCGAGTACACACACACACACACACACACACACACACACACACACACACACACACACACACACACACACACACACACACACACACACTTTCTTTTCACAATACGGAGCCACACACTTTACCAAAGACGGCAAATCCCTTTAACAACTTCTCTTTGCGATACCGCGGTGTCCTACCCTCTAGCGTTCGGCAGATGGTGATGCTGGTGGATAGGTAGCTCACAGCGTGTGTACGTCTACGGCCAGAGCTGTGGTGCATTGTAGTTGCATTGCATGTGTGTCTCAGCGGAGTGCAATGTACCTGCAGTGCAACACAGAGCTGGGCCCCTAACAGCAGAACACGCACACAGGGAGGGTGGAAAATGCCCTTCAACTTCGAGTAGAGCTCTGTAACAGTTGAAGTAGAAACACATTTCCAGCATCTCCCTCAATTTTAGGTCTGGAACAGAGACGCATGCTGTCTTTCCAGCCACTACACTTTAAATGTAGTTAAAGGAACTGTGGTTTTTTTGACACTCAACTACACATTGCTCACATTTCATTATCCAGGTCATTAGTCAGTGGTGTTACTGCACTGCAGCTTGTGGCATCAGTGACTAGTTCTGGCAGTGAAATGTATCCCTTCTTATTCCTAATCTTGTCCATTTCTCTCTAGGTCGTCCAGTTGCTTTTGGGGGATCTCCTTTTGGTAATGAGGACTAATGTGTGGCGTCTGCAGCAACAGGGGGCTGGTCCTGCGGGGTCAGGGTTGGTGGGTAACAGCGGCCCTGCGGGGGTCCACCAGGCCTCCCCACCGGAGCTCCAAGGCTTCCAGCAAGATCTAAGCTCCTTACGCAAACTGGCGCACAGCTTCAGGCCTGCAATGCGGAGAGTATGTATAACCATATTGACTGTTCATCTACATTTTAGTCATTTAGCTCATGCAAGTACTTAATTTTGTGAGCAGTTTAGGGGATCCATTGTCTTCCTGACATACAATCAAACTTTCATTTCCTCTCAGTCTAACACACAAACAAAGACAGCATTAATACTTTTTGACAAACCCTCGGAGAACTATTAAAACAAGATGAACACATCTGTTCAGTGCCTTTGTTGGTGTGCTTCTATTGTGAGGCACCATCAGTCAGAATGTTCCTTAAAATCCTCATAAACTGACATGTGGAAGATCGACAGGCACGATGACAGATTCCTACGTGCCACACATACCTGGAACGACAAACTCGCGTAGAATTCAAATCCAAAAAACCATGACACTTTAAGAGAAGCACACCACATATACACGTACAAAAACTTCCTGTGCACATATTTGCAGGCAGTCCGCAGCACAATTCTCTGTGGAAATTAGCTAGGAGGTGTTGCAACACACACACACACACACACACACACACACACACACACACACACACACACACACACACCCCTGAGGCAAGTGTTTAGCAGCGTTGTTCACAAGGATTCAAAGTCTCTCTGAGGTAGAACTGAACGCTCTGTATGAGTCATCATCACTTGCTCTCATTCCTCCTCCTCCTTCGCCTCCTCCTTCGCCGCCTCCTCCTCCTCCTCCTCCTCCTCCTTATCTCTCATCCTTCCATCTCTTTCCAGTTGTTCCTTCATGAAGCTACAGCCAGGCTGATGGCAGGGGCCAGCCCCACTCGCACACATCAGCTCCTGGATCGCTCGCTGCGACGCAGAGCAACGCCTGGAGCCAAAACAGGTGTGTGTGTGTGTGTGTGTGTGTGTGTGTGTGTGTGTGGACGTATTTTTGTTTCATTCTTTTCATCCACTAATTCTGTCTGTATTATAATTGTTTTATTAGCTTTTTGCTGCTCATGATATTTGGAATTTGTTTTGTTTGTTGTGGTCTTAATTACTTAATAATTATTATATTTTTTATGCATAGCCTTTTAAACTTACTAATAAACTGTGGATGCTGCTAATTTTCCTAGCAATAATTGAATGTGTTTTCTTACACTTTTTTTAATAAAAGTTGTTGAGAGCTGTGACATTTAATTGTAATCAGCTTCTCATCCATTTTGCCCTATTGTTCACTACACTAAATCCCATCACTAATTAAACAAGAAGCCACCGAAGTCTGTTGGTGGTTGATGATCCCAAAATACCGTGGTAACCACATTCTTTGTTTTTTTTTCTTTTTTTGTGCATGCAGAGGAGTGTGAGACGCGACCAGGCCAGCGGGAGCAGGCGGAGGCTGTGATGCTGGCGTGCCGCTACCTTCCTCCCTCCTTCCTGTCGGCTCCCGGCCAAAGGGTGGGCATGCTGGCGGATGCAGCCCGCACCCTGGAGAAGCTGGGAGACAAGAGGACCCTCCACGACTGCCAGCAAATGATCATCAAGCTGGGAAGCGGCACCACCGTCACCAACAGCTAGAGAGAAGGGACAAAGGGGGGTGGGGGGCGATGCTGAGAGACATGCATGGACACTGTATATAGAAAAATCTTTGACATACAAAAAAAAAAACGGAAAAGAAAAACCATACAGTCTCTGGCATTTTGGCGTGCAGCTATTGAACAGATTTATTCAACTATACAGATTCATATCAGACTGTCAGGATCTGTCTTCATGGATTGTCCCTCCCACCACCCCAACCCCACATCAGGAGGCACTTGTTGAGTTCACACTCTTGTTGCTGTGGATCATTACCAGAATATAAGAAGCACTTTTCGCATACCGGGCTGAATCCCCTTGCGAGAATGCATTGCAGTGCCACAGTTTGTCCACAGAGAGGAGCCATCACAGTTCTGTGTGAATGATGTGTGTGTGTCTGCGTGCGTGTGTGCGTGTGTTTGCAGCATGAGAGAGATATTTGCCCTGCGTTTATTCCATATAGTCCCACCCCAGATCTTTCCGACATAGATGCACCTTCTACAGGCAGGAGTGCTCAGTGGGTTGGCGGTGGCGGGCTTCTCTGATTGGCTGCAGAGTGAGGTGTCTCTGGAAAAAAACGACCAAACTCGGATTGCTCCGACTGTGGGCTTGTTCAGTGGGGAGCCACTCCGCAGGTGGTTCACACAGTTGATTTGAATCATGTTTCACTGGTGATAATCCGAGGCGAGGCGAGCCACTGCACAAGCTCTGTGTCTTTATCTGCACTAGCCCTGTGAGGCTGAATTCAATGAGATGAGTAATAATATGGCTTTATGAGGTTATTTTCATAGGTCTTTTTTTCTTTTTTCTTTTTTTTTGCTGTGTACATATTTTAAAATGTATTTATAATCTGTATGAACTTTGATTACGCAGTATTTCGCATAAGCAGAGTGATAAATGCTTATTTTCTTCCCCTAAACTATTCGGAAGCTTTTGACCAGGCCCAAATAATGCTGTTACTGTATGCCATGTAATGCCATGGCAGCGAGTGTCAAAACGGGGACAGTATCAAGTTATTTGCGTCACATGGTCTGACTCAGTTGACCTTTTGCACTGTTGCACACGTACGCAACTATGGTGGCAAAAAAAATTGGCAGCGCCCAATTCTGGCACTACCGACTGACAACTCAGACTCTTGACAAGAACCTTTGGCACTTTTTGCAACACGTTACATAATTCATGCAGCCAATTTAAAAATAATTGACCGTTATTATTTCCAAAGAGAGCCTGTAGTGAGACTTCTGGTTTTCCTTTGTAGCTCCAACATAAAGAGCAATACTTGCTCTTTCAGTCACTATAGTTCATACTCCTGGAGAAACACAGGTAATTGATTTGTAGAGAACTGTTAAAAAAAAAAACTTTGGCATGTGTTTTTTTGTCCGAGGACCAGTATGTTTTTATAGTGTGTCACTATTCTAATGTGAAAGACTGAAAGACTTTGCATTGAGATGAATGAGACCCAGCCATGTCTAAAGGTATTCATGTGTTCTTTAACTGACATCTTTTCATCTCTTCCTTGTTCTTTGGTTTCATCCTTTTATGATGTAAATATTAAAGCATTTTGTAAAGAAGATTATAACGTTTCCTGTGGTGCTTTGCATTTTAATGTGGTAATGGAGTTTGATACCACATGATTATGATGATGATGATGATGATGATAATAAAAAGTAGTTAAAAGTCTCCCCCCGCTTAAATTATGCAAGTAGGTCATGTGCATACGTCATGTAAAACAGGCGAAACATACAGAAGATATCTGATTTGGGGAGAAATGCGGACATAAATGAATCTAGTTAGTGTATTCCAAAAACAGTAGTAGTTGCCTGTAATGTGCGTTCTTGGATGTGTATTGGAATTTATTTTCTAATCTGAAGGATAAACATTTTTATTAATATCAGATTGGAAGCTTTGATATACGGCTGATATAATTTGCGTTAACTGAATTTGTTACTACAGCTATGACAATGAAAACGCGTACCTTGGTGACTCACTGTGAACACTTGTACAGCAGCACGATTTAACTGCACATGGTAGGAGAGTGAGAAAATGGGCTGACCCAAATTGTGCCTCCAGTGTGTTAATGTCAGTGCATGTTCAGTAAAGACAAAAAGAGCAGGCATTGGTCATAGCAGCATTGAAAGGTGCTGGTATATTTAACATTGGCGTTACAAAAAACATTTCAAACAAAGTGATGCTGTGTCATCGATTCCAAACAAAGAGACATGAAAATCAATAAAACGGCATGCTCCAACTTAAGACAAGTGACATTCCCAAAAAAGGTTGTTATTTTTTCATCAATGGATTCTTTTAATAACATTTTATAAGCAATAACATATTCCATTTTATAGAAAATAAACATCTCTAGGAAATACTATACACAATTATATTAGTACATCACATCTTACATTTAAACAGCATCAAATACTTATATACACCATTAAATAATGAGCTTCATAAAAGAGAAAGTTTGGTGTGGCGTTTTTTGCACTTTCTTTTATGCTCTAATACTTAAATATGTCTCCTTTTGATATGACCAGTACTCTGACTGACACCCTGTACAGGGCATTGTTACATAGCATGGAAGAGTGAAAGAGGCTACATTTGAGATACACAAACAGACAAGTGTGTTATGAAATCTGAATCGAATGTATATCTTTCTGCACTGCTGTGGTAGGTGAAATAATCATACATCATGGCAATGTTTAACAGTAATACTTCTGAACTGTACATAGATATGAAGTGAAATGACCTGACTCCCAGTTGGACCCTAGGAGCCATGGTCTGCGATCTGTCTAGTGATGATGGTGGCATCTACTGTACATATTGAATGTGCACACAGTTGAAATGGAGTAACACTCTTAAACAGAGTTATCTTTTTTTTAATTTCTTTTTAAACTTTTTTTTTTTTAAATTTTGGAATAACACAAAGCCTGACATATATCAAGAGTGATGCGATGATGTCGTATACCGGTAGTCATAATGCACATCAAAATAGATAAGAGCATATTAAAATACTGCGTCCATTTTTTTCTTAACTCTTCAATATCAGAATATTTAGAACCTGTAAAGCACATCATCATGTACAGTTTCCTTTTTTGTTTCATCTTGTTTTAAACACAAACGCACACATTGAGATAGTACATCCAGTGGTTGGCTGCTGCTTTTTTGATGCATGACATCTTGAATTGGAGATGAACTTCTTCACTCGCACGGACACATATACACAAACACACTGATGATGTGGCTGTAGAATGACAATTCTATGATTATCACACACACACAGGCACACGCTCACACACGCTCACGCACGCGCATACACACCTCTTGGCCCACAGACAAGGTGGCCAGAGGGATGCTCCTGTCCAATCAGTGTCCGCCAGGTGTCTGAATATGATAGCAACCCATCCGAAGGCAGAACACACACACGTTCCTCGCTCTGCATTTCAAACAGCCCCCCTGTGCACTGGGCCCTAGGCACACAGTCTCTAAAGCGCAGTCTATCCTCCTGTTAAACAGTGCCGCTGCCTTCCAGTAAGGGGCTCAGTGGAGGAAACACATTTCCAGGCCGGGTTCAGGGAGCAGCTATTCTCTGTGGAGCCATTCTCCTGGGTGTGTGTTGCTCCTAGTTTCCCCTCGGCGCAGCCTTTTACCCTCCCCCAGCTCCACTGGCCGATGTGCCTGTCCGTCATCAGTCATCACCGTGTTTTTTAGGTATAGGTGGCTGTTAGGACAGCATTTTTGTTTGCCTTGCTGGATAGGTAATGCTTGACTGGCTGAGAGGTGGTGTTGGTGGTGGAAGTGGATTACTGGAATATCTTACAGGTCCTGTAGAAAAAGGGAAGAGAGACTGACATGAATACAGGTCACAAACACGCAGATGAGACCTATGAGCTGTGCCAAAGGTTTGGAGGTTGTCCTCTATGACTGCTACATTAGCATCGCACTCACAGCACTGCGGAATACTTGCAGCATTACCTGCAATGTATGAGCATTAATATGCTGTTGATATGTGTCTAAACTATTATAAATACTGTGCAGGACGTGTTACTTAAGGTATGTGCTGTAAATGCGTCTTTGTGAGTGTGTGAGAGCATTTCTGCAGACCTGAAAGTGAGCTGGCTGCAGTGTGCAGGAGTGGGGAGATGGATGCAGCTGGCCAGTGAACCAGCTCTACTGTGAAAGACACAGCAGGAACGCCCACTAATTGCGCTGGTGGTGGTGGTGGAGCGCTTTCTCGTCCCTTATCCTCCTCTGCAGCCCCCCAGTATCTCTCCTTCACTCTCTCCGTCTTTCTCTCTGAACTGCCAGTTGCCCATCCTTATAGCCTGGACTCAGACAAGCAGCGTTGCTCTCTTTCTTTCTTTCTTTCTTTCTTTCTTTCCTTTCTATCTTTCTTCCACTCCCTCTTTGAAGTTACCCTCCCTCCCTCTCTTTCTATTTAGGCCTACCTCCCTGGAGTAACTCTCATCCTTTTACACCTTCACTCTCACTTGTTTTTTCTCTTTTTCTCCATCACCGAGTGTCTCTCCCTTTGCTGCCCTTCTTTTCTCTTTCTATCTCTGTCTCTTTCATTCTGTCGCTCTCTGATGTAACTGCCCCCATTCGTCTTTTGTTCCCACTCAGCCGCAGCACAAAACAGTTTTTCTTCGCCCTGCCTCTCTACCACTCACCGTGTGTGTATATATGTGTGTGTGAGCTTACAGGTAACCTGCTAATGAACCTGTGTGGACGCGCACAATGTGTGTCCCTTCGCTCTAGAGAACCCAACGCTGAAGGCAGCAAGTGTATGCAGTTTCATCAATATGTGTGTTCCATTACCCTGAAACCAAGTGAACACAGGCGCAGGGAGAATTTCAGAGGGGGACCCATGGGTGGGGTGGGTGCATGCTTGTGTGTGTATGTGTGTGTGTATGTATGTGTCTGCTCTTCCCTTTGATTAGGCTGCTCAGCGCAAATTGGCGCGGCACAGACCCACACACAGACCTTCAGATCCCTCAGCTGATGACAGCTCTGCCTCAGCCCGCTAACAACAGTCTCTCTCTGTCTTGCTCTCCTTTTCTCTCTGTTTCTCATACTCTATTTCTGCTGCTTAGACGTGGGAGTTGAGGTGAAGAGAGGCGGGGAGAGGAGTAGAGAGGAGATGAGAGAAAGAGAGGGAGGAAGGGATGAGGAGGGATGAAGGGACGACGGCTGAAAATGGAAAAAGGGAGCTTGCAGGAGATGAGAGGTGAACAGAGCTGAGAGACGGAGGGAGCTGGAACAGCAGGGGAGCGCAGAAGCAAAATAAGGGTAACATGAAAAAAAAAAGGAGGGAAGAGAAATAACGAGAGAAAGAGTGAGAGAGTGAGAGAGAGAAAGGGTGGAGAGAGCATGTGGGGAGGATGGCAGGCAGTGATTCTGGGTGGGGTGTTTTGATCAACAGCCAGCTTTTCATCCCTGTCAGTCTGCACAGAGGAGAACAGGAAAGGAAGAGGGAGGGAGGGAGGGAGGAAAGGAAAGAGCGATGCAGACAGGGGAGGGAGGAAGGGAGGCTACTGCCACTGCTGCCTCAATGCACCGCTGCTCCCTGCTGAATGTCAGCATCTCTCCCTCTCTACCCCCCTCTCCCTCTGCATTTGACCTTCCTCTCTGTGCTGCAGTGTAAATACGCCACCACCAGATGGCGTCTGTCTTGTTGACTGTGGAGTGGACTCTTCATATTAACACGAAAACAGTGACCCGTTGTAATTGCAGTGGTCTGCAGTCATAACAGTGGGTGCTGAGTGACAGTAATACACAAAGGGCACATAACTAAGTGTTTACACAGCGAGTGGTGGTTGATATGGGTTTAGCTTGCCAAGGTCATTGGGTACATATTGATTTGGTAACAAAATATCAGTCGGTCCAAGATGAGATCCCTGTCCTCATGAGTTACATACTGGCATGGGAGTAGATACGGTACTTGATACCTGTGTACAGTGAGAACCAACCTGAACCCTTGTGTTTTCTCATTTGATTCTTTCTCTGTTTTACAAGAGCCGACAATTGTGTTTTCTGTTCTGCACTGTATCATCTATCTAGCCATGGTGCTGATGCTTGTGACAGCAATGTGTGAACTCAATTTTTTTGCTGAGGAGAAGGATGAAGGGTGGAGTGAAGTGGGGTGGGGGGCAGAAAAATGTATAGTGGGTCTTTGAGGAGAGAGGTTGTTCTAATGGGAACAGCTACTGTACATAAACATAAATAAAAACACTAATATCTCAGAGGTTGTTACAGTAGGAGAAGCTAAGGCGCACTGCCTTAGTTACAAAAATCCTCTCTTTTTACCTCTCCCTCCTTTCTTCTATGCACGACCCACTGTTGGAGTGCAGGGTGCCGTAATAATTTTCTGCCTATCACTAGAAGTCAGTTGAAAATATTTGATACATTTATTCACTAGTGTTGATTTTAATTTTCTTACCTCGTGTTTAGGACATTTGATGGAGAAGTCATCGTCGTGGAATGTGCAGCCTAGGCAGAAAGGGAGAAAGCAAAGAAAGGGAAAGTAAGGTACAGTATCGCAGATAAATGAAACAAATAGCACAAGGCAAATGCACA